CACGCTTGCTTAATCGTACATATATAATTATAATACAGGATTAATTAATTATATTATATACTTTATTCTAAGATACAAATCAAGTTTCTTGATAAGTTACAGCTATAGTTAAATTAAATTTCTTCTATTAAAGTAATAAAGTTTCAACTTAGAATATTTTGTAGAATAAAATAAACACTTCTTAACTAAAAATTATGCTAAACTACTTCGTCAAACAATCAATCTTAATAATAAAGTATTTCGCCACACGTTCTTTCAAGAACATAATAAAGTCTTGTTTTGTAAACTGGCATAGGGCCTATTCTATTTTTTCAGTAAATGTTTTCTCATACACGATTTCTAACAAAATGTTTTCGTTACACAACTACTGGAGTAGGGAGTTACCAACTCACTCTGGCTAGACAATGAACATGCTTGCTTCATCAGATAAGACAAAAGAAATCAATTAACGTCTCTGTGGTAACGTTAACTTTTAACCCTACTACTCTAGTATTGTTGCTTTTTATTGAGTAACAAACGATTGATTGAATCGATAGCATGAATCGTGTACATATTTTGAGTATAAATATATAAACGAATATCATATGTATGAACTTTAGAAACACTTCAGTGGAGGAAACCAATTTTCAACCTATTCATACATAAATTATATATGTATACATATTTAAATATATGTGGCCTATATATAAATAATGATATAACATATATATATATATATATGGCCTATATAATAAATAATGAAACAATATTAGTATTGTTGCTTTTTACTGAGCAACAAACGATTAAATCGATGGCATGAATCGTGTACATATTTGATATATAGAATTAAGAAACGAAAATCATATGTATGAAATACTTCAGTGGATGAAACCAATTTTCAACCTATTCTTATATAAATTATATATATATATATATATATATATATATATATATATAATAATGTACATAATTAAATATATATGGCCTATATATAACTTATGATATAATAGATAAAATCCAAACTAGCTTTATATATAATAATAATAAGAAACGAATACAATACTTTATTGGAGAAGAACTTCAATCTATCGAAAGTTTTGATTGGAGCAATGGTTTTATTATATTTTTATGATGTTTACAATTCTTAATGTGACTTCAATTTATTTATTTTTTTTAATAGTTATTTTTTAAGTAGTTTTATATAGTGTGTAGGCCTATAAATAAAATGAAAAACAGGGCCGAGTTAACCTGCCGGGCCGAGTTGACTGGGGCCTATTTGACTCGAAAGCTTTGTATTTAGAGAGCGGTATTGTATTATTAATTGTGAATGCGTCATCGGCGTTCCATACATATACACGCATTGGCGGCCGTTCTGGAGGGCGGCCGCTGTAGGTAGCGGCCAATATGGGCCTACTCCAAATAATGCATGTATAGATCAAAGCAATAATAGTACCTAATTAACTTTATTTTTTTCAAGGTATACACAATGAGAATTGACAAATTAGTAAAAAGGTCACAAACTTTGTATAACGCCTGTAGCAAAATTTTCGCCATAATTAAATATTTTTAAAAATCATTAAAATTCAACCATACAACCAAATTTAATTTTGTAAACGTTTTTAATGTTATAACACTTGGTAGAATTTGTGATATCAGTATTGTGGACATCCAATCAAATTTAATTTTTCTTTAACATACCTAGATACGGCGCCCCGTTATAGAGTTATGATTTTTTAAATAACATGATGTCAAAAAATCCGCCCAAAAGCTTATCTTATTTCTGTTGGTTTACGCACCGCTGATTCGCAATGTTTGTCAAGATGTCTACCGATTCGTGAAAAAGGCGTATCAAGAAGTACTAACAACAGAGCATTTTTTTGCATTTAAACAAACAAATACAAGAATATGGCGACGATAAATTTGCCCTTGTTATAGTTCGCACTAAATGCATCAGCTCGAACCCGCTCGAATTGACTGGCATCCACCTACTACTACTAGGCCTAGCTAGAGATGGAAGGTGGTGGTGGTAACCCTGGCTGGTCCCTTAGGCCTACTAGCCTACCTAGGTAGTAAGTAGAAACCTTGGCCTACAAAAGACAAGAATGGTGAGGCTTAAAGTTAGGCTAGAAACTGAACGTTATTAATAATATTACCGTCATGAATTATTACCTACCGTAATCGCCAAGGCAAATCTCCATTAAGACCGATTCCCATATCATTACTAACAGCTACAATAATGTTGAACTTTTTCAGAGCCATAATAATTTTTGCTTTCTTGATTTCAAATTTTCATGTTCCCGCGTGAAGGACGCCCTCAACTAAATTCACCTCTTCACAAAAAAAAACGAACGGGTTCAGCCGAGGGGAGTGGCTTGTATATGGTGACGTCATTATAATTATACCCTCTACCAAAAAACATCACGCTACACTGTTTGACCATGGAGGTATTATTGAGAAGGAGATCACTCGGCAACAGATCCCTTTGACGCGACAAACCTATGTGTTCCCCGCTTTTGGATCGCGCGCGGGCGTATTACCTATAATTCACATTTTTCTTTAGCAACAACTTGGCAACGACATGCATTTATACGCTTCCAGCAGAGCAGTTGTGCAATAAAACGTTTGATTTTAACCCATTACAGGGGCGGATTTAGGGGGGGGGGCCGGCCCGGCCCGGGCCCCCCTTTTAGGAGGTAAAAAAAAGAAAAAAAGAAGAAAAAAAGAGAGTAAAAGAAAAAAATGATAGCCCAGAATGCCTCAAATGGTTCGGGCGTCTAGAACACAAAAATTTCGCGGGGCCATGCCCCGGACCCCCTACGACAGTGTTGTCTCAATCGGCCCAACTTTCGGCCCCCTCTTCCGGCCCCCCCTTTTGGACATTTCTGGATCCGCCCCTGCATTAAATATCTTTATAATGAACAATGTTCCCCTGATTAGATTTTTTCGGGCTTTTGGTATGTTATTATTTGTATATTTCAGGAACGGATTCCGTTAAATATTTAT